TATATTCCTTTCCACGCTCGCATGGATTATGATGATGATGGCAAGAGGCAGAGCGAGATAGAGTGAAAAACAGAGAGCATTTCATGTGATGCACACCATTTTTTACGTTTTATACGCGACCATAAAAATAAAACATAATTCGAAATGATGATCACTTTGTAACCACAACGAGATTATACAAATGCAAATGCCAAAGCAATTGTAAATTGTAGTTGATTATATTTTTGTATGTGAGGTTGCGTGAGAAGGTGATGATGGAAACATGTTCTACTATGCCAATGTAAAGGAAGTGGCTTTTGGACAATATAATCCATTTTGATTGCATATCCCTTTTTGTACGAATCTCTTGTATTTTTTAAAACTCTTCTCAGATTCCAACAATAGCATGCTACATATTCCATAAAATTACGAATCACGACGGATTCTCATTCAAATGCAATGATAAAAAAAAGTATAAAAAATAGAGGGGTTTCGCCTCCTCCTTCCAAAGTAAAAATAAGTAGATTTATTTCGGCTGGAGGAATTCAAGCTAATTTCAATGCTATTTCAGTGCGCGCGCGTGTGCAACAAACATACTGACAAAAGCGCACCACAAATTCGGATTAATGTCAACACCACTTTCAATTTCTTCGATTTTTCCATTCAAACATATTTTTATTCGATTTTCAAGTTTGATGACAATAGAAGAAAGTTATGTACGTTCAAAAAATTGGCCATGAAAAAATATGTCACGATTTCTTTAACTTTGGATTTTTTTCTGATTTGCCGGCACCAAATATTGGCGTTTAGTTCAATCTGTGTGTAATTTTTCCTGCCTTTACAATTTATCTCGTTTTTGTACGAATTGTTTGTGGGCGGCAAATTGAAATGCTCGTTGTTTTATGTTCGTCCAAAAGTTGATGACTTTTTCATGTGGCTTCAAACCAGTTGTCAATCCATCATTGTTAATATCGAGAAAATGAATGCCATCATCACTGTTGTGTTGAACCGGTTGAAAGCCATCGATGGGATCACCTCGATGCGATGGTACACTATGCATTTAGTGCAAAACACATACATGCCATGATCGAAATGTTAATCGATATCATTTGAGTGATTCACCTGTGACACAGACTATACACGACATACCCATATTTGGCGAAATTCGTGAACAATTCGGTGATGTAATCAATCGTTTGCAAACTGATTTTTGATTGTTTATCCTTGTTTTTGGTTTTGATTATTTCATCGTAATATGATTGAGCGAATCCGCATCTGCAGTGGATTAAAATGATGCGATTTCATTCAAAGTTTGTTCATAGCGACACAGTTCAATGTTGTTTATCAAATCAATATTTACCTGAATTAACCTGAAAGCACAATTCGTCAGCATGAGCAGCACCAGGCCATATGAAAATTTCAGCACGCTTAAGGAAGTCCATTTTTTTGAATAAATTCAATGTTGAACCAACGAAAAACCTGTACGGATTTCATACAGACAACACATCGTTCATAACACAAATTGAAATATTTGACATTTCAATGAATTTCGTTAGGTCGCCACTAATAATTATTTTCGTTTCGAAAGGAAGATAGACAAAAGAGAACAGACAGGTAAGAGAAACAAACGTCACAAATAATACGTTTTGCTCGCTAAATGGGCCACATGTGATTTGACACTTTTGTCAATGGCCCATAAAAAATTCACATCGGATAAGTACTTGAAATATTGTGGAATTGCCGCTTCGTTGATGGCACCATCTCCAAAGTAGAATTTGCGAGTGTCATTGGTTAAATTGCGATGCTCCTGTGGAAATGCAATAGAGAAAATTGTACATTTCATTGAAAAGGAATTATTGCAACGGAACGTAAAGAAAAGAGGGAAAAAATGCATAGCATATTTTACTAGGGGCCTCACGACAATTTCCATATTTAAAATATGAACAAACAATATGAATTTGTTTATGTTTCTACATATTAAACAGATATGTATGCATAATTTCAATTTTGCTCAATTTTGTTCAATAAACCGACTGTCAGCAGAACCATGTCCAATCTGTTGACGTCATTATCGCTTCGAAAATTCTGGAAGTGGGTTTTGTAGGATCCTCAGGATTGTTCAAAACCGCTCCTGGTTCTGGAAGTAGATCCACAGGATGGACCAGTGCATTGTCAAACCCAGTCTGATCCATCGTGAAGATCCACCAAAACCCACTTCCAGAACATATTGTTCAAGGTGAATATGAAGATTAACAACGCATTCGGGAAATAATACAAAATATTTGAAATCTAGCGTGAATTTTACATGATTTAAATAATACAAATAGATTTTGCTAAATAAAATTTGGCATGAATCCCCTAGATATTTTATATGCTCGTATCGACGAGTGCACCTTAGGGTCCGTTTGATGGTATGCAAAATAATGTTGGAGCGTTTGCATATTGAATGCACTTTTCAATTGAATGAGAGCTTCGTATTAAGTGAAACTATTTCTCTCTCTGTGTTTTTTGTTTCATTTGGGAGGGAAATTCCGTTATTGTCGCATTGGTGTTTCAGCAACAGCAGCTACACAAAGGTAGAAAATATTCGACGCATTTTATCTGAGTGTCAATATGCTTGCAGAATACCAAAATCGATGGGGCCGCTTGAGTGTACGCATATGTTTGGTTACCTGAATGGACCAACCAAACGACTAATGTTTTATGCTACCATATTATTCACTGTACGTGCTGTAACATTAATACCTCTATCGACGATGCCAAATTGGCCTAATCCAATGGAAACAATATGTTATAATGGACGTGTGTTACACACGCACGTTTCATATACGAAAACCGACCGAAAATTGAGACTGCTGCTTTAAATATCATATTCTTGGTGTGATGGCGGCGGTGGTGATGCTGTTGCTGTTGCAGAATAGCTATTTTGTAACTTTTGTCCATGCATATTAAATATGGCCAGTGGACCGGTGAAGGGAAGCCATTGCGATGTGCTTATCGGAGCGACCAGACAGAAAATTAAAATGTTGGCCACTGCTCACAACCAAAAACTATCACAGAATTCTGAGTAATTAATTAAGCAATCAGATTATTATTAAATTCAAGTGGGTTTAACCATCCACACACACACACACACACACACACATACACACACACATACACACACACACACAGGCTAAACGACCTTCTGCCGACTCGAAATATCTTTATGCATTAATCCAAGCCGACCGAATGCCGACGGAGTTCAAAAGATTTGTAATGATAACAAAAGTACAGCCATTTGTTCATTCAGATGCTGTTCAACTGAGTGTGTGACTGAGAAAAAGAGGGAAAGATAGAGTTAAAAGAACACACAAAACGTGAAAGAGAACGTCTTTGGGTCTGGATGATGCTTGAAGCGGGCCATAAAATCGCATGAATTTCGTATTGTGCAGGACACACGGCGATGAGCTCCGTGTCACGTATCTACTATTTTGCAAACGTGACTGGTGCACATTGTTCAACTTACTTCAGATTCTAATGGTAAATTAAGCCCTCTAAATGGCAAAGGTAGATTAAAATTAGCATCAAGCACTTGCAAGAATGCGGCTGGCGTCTTGGGTGCCAACGACATCACTTCCTAATCGAAAAAAGAACGGAACAAGCACACAAAGCAAAATAAATCATTGACGTCATTTGATTGCATTTGTTGAATTGTAAATTTAACACGTACGAGGGATGTAACGCTGAACATTGCATCCACATCAATCTTTGACGTTTCATACAATTTCTCCGGTGCTTCAACCATGAATGCGCGCTTTGCATCCTTCCCTGTGTCGTGCAAAGTGGAAGAAAGAAAGAAAAATCAGTGCCGAGAATGTGTTAAGCGAAAAATGTGATTTTAAATGAGCACTTTCGACTATTGGACCGAATGGAATATGGAATCGAACACCACCATCGGCTGATATTACAGCAAATTGGTTGAAATCCTCAGCTGGAACTGTTTTTAAGAATGCCACCGATTCGTCGATGGTATTTTTTGGTTCACCCAATTCTTTGGCTATTTTATGTGCCTGTGCCAATCGATTCTGCTCCGGAGATATTGCAAAATAATTGAATGCCGATCCACTAATTGCATTACGGAAGTACTTTCGCGATTCAGCCGATAAAATGTGGAGATGCGTTGATACACCACCTTCGTTCACCACCTTTCTTGATACATCACCTCCAAATCAATCAATATTCTCGTTGATCCATTTCAAGGCCAACTGTTGGTCTTTTAATCCATTATTCCCTGAGTATTCCGCTGTATCAAGCGATAAAAATCCAAGCGGTCCCATTCGATAGTTCATTGTCACCAAAATTGTCGCCTTTTCGATGATAAAGTCCGGGCCGTAGAGCGAATCATAGCTTGAATCCTCCGCAAAGCCACCACCATGGATGAAAAACAACACCGCCAATTTTTCTTTCGGTTTTACATCAGCTGAAATTGAATAATTGTGCAAATGTTACAGCCAAAGAGTTGCAAATAACATTTGAATATAAATATTACCTGGCACAAAAATGTTCAATTTTAAGCAGTCTTCGCTTTGTGAGTGAGCGCCTGGCATTAAAGTTCCTGGTTGTATGCACATATCTCCGTATTCAAATGCATCCAAAATGTTTGGCTTCCATGAATCGATCGGCTCTGTAGCCTAATTTTCCTAATAATAGAACTTATACGGTCTGATTATTAGCCATACATACGTTTATGTGATTTAAATTTTCAACGATCACAACAAGCGTCATGTCAGTAGAGCTTATCTAATGTTTACATTGAAAATACTTGTTATTGTTGTTGTCGTTTCATACACGTGCCAACAGATTACCAATTAGAATTAAAGAACTTCAAACAGCTTTACACTATTCTCCACTTCCATTGGATTTCAACGGTCAACGTGTATCTAATGTAATGGAAACTAAATGCGAGTGGAGGCGGTGTGTAAAAAATAGTGTAGAAAAACTTTTTGAATGGTGATGGTTCTTTAGAAAAACTCTAGATGTGCATTGAAAAATCAAATCGAGTGATAATTTGATAACGTGGTAATTTTAACTTTAGAACAGTAGACAGAACTTGATTATAAATCAATTACTCATTATATAGCGTTTTAACTAATATTCTTATTATATATAGCAGAGATAGAATGTTTCATCCAACAGCTTTTGTCATTGATTTTAATTCAATATCAAGTGCACGTGACTTCAGTTATAGTCTACATACAACCAGCCTCTTCAATTATTTTCGATATTATATCAACTTTGCAGATAGCAACACTATTATGTATGTGTACAATGTATTTTGTATGTGTACAATGTTAACAATCGCGTATGAAAGTAAAAAAAATAGTATGGATGTGTTATACAGACACAATGATTTCCGTCTTTTTTGTATTGTAATTGAGTGTCTGGCTGAAAATGTTTAGCAACATTTTGGAGAATGACTATGCTATCGTTACGATCATCACAAAAAAAAATGTGTACTCATAAAATTCAATGGTTATTACTTCAGTTTAGTGAAAATGAATGGGTTATGTATCTATTATTCTTTTTATAATTATAATACTATGAAAATAAAAAAAATCCAAATAATGATAACATGAATGCATTGAAAGTAAAGTTAATGGACAATTTCATTGATATACTTTGAATGAAATGTTGTTTCAGTTGAATTGATTACGTTAAAATGATCTTATTAATTGGTTCCGAAATCTTATCATATTATCATATCGTCCAATCCAAATCTATGAAAATAAAAAGATTAGTGAACAAGCGCTTCTGCCTTTTGCAAGATGCGATTCCAAAAACGAATGGCCTCTTTCTTCGGTGATACACCTGGAATCATAGCAGTATTTGTAATGTCAAGAAAATTGACATGCCGACCGCAAACCGGATGGTATCCTCTGGTTGGCCTACCATCAACAGTGGGTCGCCTGAAAATGAGCGTATCATCGTGATTAAAATTGCAAATTTCACATCACTTGCAAAAAAACCAATAAAAGAATATTTCCATCCAAATGCAAAAACTAGTGCGCTGAAGAAACGTACCCGTGTTTAACGAAATTGGCGATCATTTGTGTCATGTGTTGAACGGTATCATAGCTAATTTTGCTGATCTCATCATGATTTAGCGTTTCCATGATGTTACGATACACGGAATCAATTGAATGGCATCTGCAATCAGAATCAATATTGAAATAGTGAGCGCAAAATGAAATCATTCAGCAAATTTTAGATTAAATACAGTCTAAATAAGACAGTCTGCACAATTACTTGAGTTCTGCAATAGCTGAGAACTCACATTTGGAATATGACCTATTTTGAAAAAAATTATTTATTTAAATGACCGAAACAAATCCGGATCCAAATTTACCGAAAAATGAAGCACAAATCATCACAGTGAATAGCTCCCGGCCATTTAGTCTTCAGTATATGTTTGATATAGTTCAATTTACCAGCGATAGAGAATCTAAAAGGAGATAAAAACAGTAGTTTTCTTTCTCTTTGAAGTTTATTATTGGAAAAATGGTCGGAACAGATAAATATTTGCTCACTGATAGTAGAATGTTGGTCGTTTTGAGTGCCTTGCTTGTGTTTTGACCGCTCGATCGATTGGCGTGACCATATTCAAATCGGATATCATGTTTACGAATTGCACAGCTTTATCATGATCGGTGGTAACATTGTGCATATAATGACTGCACACTCGGTTTGTTAGTCGACGATATGACTAAAAATGTGGATGATGATAATTAGATGAATTAATAGCAAGTAAATTAGAATAAAACATTGAGCCTGAACTTTACTCTTGATTTGAAGTCTGGCTTCAGTTTGTGTACCGGCAATACTAAATTGCACTCTTTGAGAAATTCATTTAAACGAGTTGAATTTGAAACATCATTCCAAACCAATCCAAGGCATTCCTAGATAGAAATGTAGAGAAAAATAAATCATTTCGAAACATGACCAATAGAAAAGGACAGAGAGAAAAACCCGTAGCAAATATGGCTTGGAGACATATAGAGTTGATACACATATGAAACTTACGTTATTGGTGTATCCAAACATTGTATTGACATTCAACTGACGATTACTATCGTACATTTCCTGCGGAGTTTTGGTTAAAATTGGTTCAATTGCTGATTTGTCTGTGGTTAGAGTGATATTCATTCAGAATTTAGTTTATCAAGCCAAATACAGTATTTGATTTCTAAAATCAAAAAAAGTAAACTCACTTTCAATAACTGGTGCCCAGTCAAAAATCAACGTTCGACCATATGATTGTTGCGAAAGTGAATCTACAATTTGTTGTGATGGCACACGTTCGAGAAAATCGACCAATTGGTCCATGTGCTGAATAGATGCATTGCTCTTGCGAGCAAAATCGTACATTTTCTTCACGTGACTCTTTTCATCCAAATACGCATAGCGCAGAAATGCTGAACCACTCAAACAAATTGCGCCACGAATTAATTTTCGTGATTGATGAAAGAGAACATGATAATGAGTCGATACAGCACCTGCACTCTGACCGCAGATTGTAATTCGTTGTTTGTGTCCTCCGAACGCCCCAATATTGTGATGTGTCCATTTTAATGCAGTGTATTGATCCTTCAGGCCCATATTGCCCGAGTGATGCTTTGTATTGAGAGACATGAAGCCAAATGTGCCCAATCGATAATTAGTCGTCACCACGATCAAGCCTTTCTCCAATAGAAAATCGGGACCGAAGAAAAAATCATTGCCCGAACCTTCGGCGAATCCACCACCGTGAATGTAGAAAATTACCGGCAGTTTTTTCTGTGATTTAATGTGTGCTACAAAAATGAATCATTATCATTAATTATCGATTGCGTTTTTATATTGCGATGTGCATTGTGCACACTTGCACACAGGGAAGAATGGTTGAGATTTCTTTTTCAGACAAAATTTTTTCGAAAGAAAATAAATTTTGTTTTAGATATCTTAATTTTGGATTATTTTTACGAAAAAAATCCATTGTACCAAAAATCTCAACCATTCTTCTCCATTTGTGTGTGGTGGAGGGAGAGAGAAATGTGAAATACCTGGTACGAAAATATTGAGATACAAACAATCCTCGGATTCAGGTCCAGAGTTACCAAGAGCAAACGATTGCTGGATGCAAGAGTTTGCATAATGAAATGTGTCGAGCACTTTTGGTTTCCATGCAGCTATCGGTATTGGCGCCTTTTCAAACGGAAACGCAATTTTCATTGATTTACAGAAATTTAATTGGAAATGGTGACCGAGACGAAAAACAAAACACAAATATCTCGAGGCCAACACAAAAATTGTCGCATTTCAAATGAAAACTACCTTGAATCGTAAATGATTTACTGGCTTCTCTGCATATGGAATGCCCAGGAACGCGTAATATCTAACATTTTGGAAGAGCGTATATTTTCGCAGCCCACGAACAGCACCATCGTGTGTTTCCACCGTTCTATACAAATCATTCTCTTCGTGGCTGCTACTGCTACTGCTGCTACTGCTAGTACTGGTGGTGCACACACAATTCAATGACAGAAACAGCACCAAACACAGCGATACAATCCATTCCATTTCTAGTGTTGTGCCTTAAATGAATTCGCTGAATAATGAATGATTCAATTTTCAGTTGAACAATTTTCGAGCTATTGGCACTCTTCTAGAAGTTGCCAAGATAACTTATCACTTTAGCCTGTTATCAAGGTCTGTTGTCTGTATACTTTTTTCACAATCACACCGCATTGATTGTTCAAAAACCAAAATGAACGCTAATTTTGTTCAATTCACTTCATTGCGTCGATAAAGTGCCTCATACATTTCGAATGATTCTTCTTCATTTCTTTGACTCCTTTAAAAATAGCAAAAACAACAATTGTTTTTTTTTTCATTTCACCTTCTATTTTTGCCGTGTCAAGTGTGATTGGTTATTGTATTTTTTATGTTCGCTTCTTTCTGTTTCACACAGATAGATAATGAACAAACTCATTGTTGATACAGTTGAAATTAAAAACATCTGACAATATTGCTATTAATATGAGTATTACTGAAGGAGTTTCAGTGAAAGAAACGGACTTTTATGTGCAACTTGCAGCACATTTCGATGTTGAATTGTCTTTGTATTGACATTTTGGTTTAAAAATACGCGGTTAATAAACGGTTTTCGTAATGAAATTTCACACTTTAAAATTGTTTTCGAAAACAAACAACGGAATTTCAAACGATTTACATGCCATAGTCTATGGCCCATAGATAATCGGTATCATTCATAAATAAATTAATTTTAGCGATTTTACTAGGATGATTTTATGAATGAAAATACATGTATTGTGTTTGGTTCAATGGACAATTTGATATTTAATTATTTATGTTTTTTTCGAAAAATAATAATCCACCTTGAAGTGAGACAAAAAATGGATTGGATCATTTGAATTTGGATTAGCTTGGATTTAAATAGTTGTGAATTGGTATTTGGTTACGTAACAATTCATTAAAAATGTTCACAACTGAATGAGTAAACATTGCGAAAAATGAAGAATATAAATGATGAGAGAGTGGACCCGTTTAACGACGTGCCATTTTATTTTCAAACAAAATTACCTTTTTTCAACAAAGTGCGACCATTACTGCCGGTATTTGAATGGTTATGCAGAGCAGAACACCTGAAATCCATAGTTTTATCCCTAATTCAGTGTACCGATTCTGTAAGCAGACTTTTTTCGAATCGCATATTTCGGTTTTATTTTTAGAATTTAAATATTTGTGCCTTGTTCCACCAAGGAGTATTGCAAAATGGAAAAAGATTGCAGTGTGTATGAGAAGGATAGAGCAGGAGAAAGAGAGAGAGAGAGAGAGATAGAGAGAGAGAGAGCCAAACAACACAGCACAATCAGTGTTGCCAAAGTGTAATCTTATATCTCAAACATATGTTATGCTGTAACAAGCATACGGTTGTTGATTTGTTTGTTACATGATTGTTTTTCACATGTTTCGTTTCATGTGTACGGCGCATCGCGTACGGTAAATTGTGTTCAATTCGCATTTAAAGATTACACAATTTCAATTTTATTATTCACCATAAAAAAAACCATATATTCACGGCAAATATGCTCCATTATTATATTATATCTAAATGCTCATAAATTCATTCGCATTACACGATGTGATTCGTGTGTTCCCTCTTTCCCTCTCTCTCTCTCTCTGCCTCCCTCCCTCCCTCTCTCTCTCTCTCTCTCTCTCTCTCTCTCTCTCTCTCTCTCTCGTGGGGCCGTGTTTTATGTAAGCAATTATGTGTAAGTGTGTGTGTGTGTTCATATGGATTTGGGTTTCACCGGCTCTGATATTCGATTCACTGATATATGTATTTTTTTGTTGGCTCTGGCACAACCCTCACAATTTGATTTCGACAAAATAAAATCTCTCGGTGGGCAAAGTGAAAGGAAAAAAGCCAGGCCGTTGAGGCAACAATCCAAAAAATCCAAAGAACAGGTAAACGGAAAAAGAAAGCGTAATAAATAAAATCATGATGAGGGTGACGACGACAGCGTTTCTGGTACACATAGTCAAAGTGCATCGAATGCTCTTCGGAGTGTTTTTGCAATCGCTTTCTGCATTGGCACGGAATAACCGATTTTGTTTTATACGCAGCGAGAAAGAAACGCATGATATTGTAATAGTAGTGTGCTCTAGTCAGGTGTAAATGTCGTCCAAAGAGTATCGCAATAGAGTATTTTTTGGCAACGATGCACAAGTTCATAGTGCTGATATGAAAAATAGTGAGTGCCTTATGTGTGTGATTCTTGGTGTAAATGGACGATGCAGCACCTTCTCTCATGATAAAACACAACGCTTTTCCACGGTATAAATACAAAACTTGTTCAGCGAACCTTAAAATCATCATCGTCCAACGAAAATAACGAATGCATAACCCCACTTTTAAGAAGAAAAGTACATCGCAAAACAATTACTACAATAGCATTGAAACATAAATCATGTTCCGCATCAGCGCTGCTGCCTTCAACTACTATTTATTACAGAACAACACCACACGCGCCAAACTCAATACTGATTATATTGTCGTCAGCGACGACGAAACAAAGAGAAGAAAAAGCGTCCATAAGCTGTATTCCAGCCTTTGGTTCTCATGCGCTTTGCTTTCACTTTCATCTCGTGCAAAAATACGTTGATGCAAACTTTGCGAAAGCACCATTCTGCAGAATGTCTTCAAACGTGGCGTAGGTTGTTTTCCTGATGAGTCTTTTCTCCTTCTTCTTCTGCTTCACATTCTCTCCTTAATTTTACAGTTGAAGAAAGTTTAGCTTTATAAAGTTGAACGGTGAGAAATGCAAAAATAACCAGCACGATGCGCGAATGAAACCAGCGATAATGACATAAATCAACGAAAATCTCGATGCAAAATAGGTTAGGAAGGGTAGTAAGAAAAAATTGGAAAATTATGTTGGCACTGCCATTGCCACGTCCGCTATTTCAGCTAAAAAATGTGTGTATTCGCCTGATGCGTAAAATATATACTTGAAATATGTCGATATTTTTTTATACAGATTTTTCAGTTGATGGCATCAATAAATGCCATTTTCTACACATTGAATCCAATTTCAACGAATTAAACTACTAACAAACATTTTATTTTCAATTTTTTTTTTCCTCTCTCTCTCACCATAAAACGATAAGTGATATAACATAGAGCGAACCTATGCATTCGAGTAGGTAGTTTAAATTTGGAGCGATACAATACAACATCCGTGAGAACCGAAGGGGAAGTCACCAAAGGGATATTGCAAGCTTTTTGACCAGAAAAAACGCCATCTTAAGTCGTGCCCGTAAATTATTTTACTGTACTAGTTATTCTTTTTACTAGTACATTTAGATGGTAGAGCTTGAACAAAAGTTCGACACTATGCATAAACTTGGAAAGAGCTTGATAAACTTCATGAAATACATATATTTTATGGTCGTTGCAATAACTCTATGGAAATCACTTAAAAGTAATTGAAATGTCACAAGTAATTATGATAATGGAAAAATAATTTTTCCCAAAAAAAAAAGTAATTGAGGTAAATGTCATCTATAGTTTGGTTATTTCTGTTCGTCAAAAACCACATACCCAAACTATTATTGGATACATTATCGTAAAAAATAAAAATTAATCGATTATAAATAAAAATGAAGATGGAAAAAGATAGTTTGGTGTGGACTCGATTGCGTTTTTTTTTCTCCAAATGCGGCATACCTAAAATGAAATTTGTATAGAATTTATTTTATACCTTGAAAATACTCAGCTTAAACTTACTTTAAGCTCATTTTTACATCTTTTGGTATTTCCAAACCAATGTCAAAACATATTCTATTTTTCGATATGAGTGTAGTAGTTTGTTTCAAACGTTTGTTTGTTGGTTTGACAATGTCAAATTTTGTCATAAACGTCTAATTACTTTCGTAATTTGCTAAAGTAATAGCGTGCCAAAAAGTCATAGAAAAGTAATTCAAATAGAGATTTCCCTCTCGGTGAGAACTCTTTGTCTTTCTTTCACTCTCGATCGCCAAGTCAAAGTCTCTCTTTGGTATTATATTCACACTATTAATGATCGATATAAAATCGAGCTTTCAACTGCCAAAAGGTTTATTTCGAGAAAAAAAAGAAAGAATTTCTATAACCAAAGCCGAGTTCTATGTGGCAAATTTCTTGCTTTCTTTAAAATCACCGTTTTTCGGCGAGAAAATCAACCTTTTCAGTTGGATTGGTTTGCAATGAATTCACTGCCAGATAACTCGTTATGCTTTTGATACATTTCATTCGCCCTTTTGGCATGTCGACTCACTTGATGACTGTTCAACTAAATAAAGGGAAAAAAGACGGAACGAAAAGGGACGCCGGTGAATGGGATTCAAACAATGGGACAACTTTGCTATATTTTTCACAGTGTCAATAAAAAGGATAGAGCTTGACAAGCTCTGATTTTCGCTCCATTTTATTCTCTCTCTTTCATCATCATTCCGATTGGAACGAGCTATGAATTTTCATGAGGAATAGTGGAGAAAAAAATAGATGCCATGGTGTGCCAAATGCTTTTCCAGGCGAACGCGACAAAAAACCTCCAACTCTCTTTCGTTTTTGCTGTGCATTGAACTATCTAATGGGCAAAATCCTCAACACATTTCCATGGCTTCAACATTTTGTAGTACCTTTTTTTGTTGAATGCCTGAGAGTCGCACCAGCCGATCAAACACATTTCAATTGAGTATCCATTGAGAAAAATGTGCTAAAAACCCAATTGAGATTTTTCCCAATTCAATAATTAATTCTGTCGAAATGAAATCAACTCATTATCTTTGCTATTCGAAAAACGAATTCAATTAAATCTTAAGTCGGTTTTTTTTGGTTGATTTGTGTATTATAACACCATTTGCCATTAACATAGTGAAAATATCCAATAAGCAGCGATTGATTTGCATCGTGCACCGAATTTACAATGGGTCAGTGCTGCAACACGAGAGGAAAGAGGGAGAGAGAAAGGGAAAATAAAGAATTAAAACTTTGAACCATTGTGCTTCCGATCTAATCGTAAGCGTGTGGCACAGCGCCGTTTTTTTCTGCCGTCGTTCGATTTCTCTATCTATTTTTTCGCTGGTTGTACATGAACCGTGAGTGCAAAACAACAACAAAAAATTGTCTTCGTCGTTCAAGAAATGTCGTAACGGTTTCTTGGTGTTAAAAAATTGCAACGTTAAACAAAAGATTTTGCTCTCTCTCTCTCTCTCTCTCTCTCTCTCTCTCCCATCATACATTTTATTTCGTATGTGTGTTGTTGCAACATGGTAAAATGCCGTGCATTTGTGCATAGCTTTGGAAAATCCCGAATGCCGAAAATCGGTTTATGTAAATGACACTCATCGAATTGATTGCGAGTCGTTTGTTCGATTCGTGCTGGATTGGGGCTGTTTTTATTTGCCGCTTGTTTAGTTCTTCAACGAACTAGGTGAAACGAATAAAGAAAATAAAAGTAAAACCGAATGAAGAAAAATGCTCGGCAAATATATGCACAGTTGTGAAAATGTGACATTATGTGTGAGATAGAGACTAAGTCACTTTCGATCCAAGATAAAAAAGAATGTGATGGCATTGCAAACATCTTAAAGAATTTCATCGGAATGGGAATTCAGCAAAGAAACTAAAATGTATAGCAACGCATCTGGGAGAAAAAAAAAACAAGTTGTCGGTTGCTTCGAATGTAAGAATTTATTGGCTCAAAAACATCAAGACAAGAACGACAGAAGCTTATCATCTATCTGCTCGATTAAATGCTTTAGCTCTCGTTCACTTGCACATCTTATCTGATGCAGCGTCAGATGCCAAAATTTTCAATCAGTGCATTTTCCTCTTCGGTTGCTTTGGGAATCGTTTCACTAAAAACAGAGATGAAAAAAAACACCACAGAAAAAAAGCAAAGGAAGGAATCGGTTTTTATTATGCAACAAAACACAGCAGATTCTTGTTCGGAGCATTGTTTTTATTTTATACGTGTATGTGTGAATGTTCATACAGACAAGTGTACTACAACACCGCATCGAAAAAGCGAGCACTCGCATCTCCGCCAGTGACACATTCGCATTACGAGTGGGTGTAAGAAAGCATGGAAAAGGAACAACAACAACAATTGCAATGACGACGAAATCATTTTGTCGACATTGTTCTTTTACAAACTTCATACAAATTTTCGTTTTGGTATTTTTGCTTCTTGTTGGTTGTCGTATGTGTCATCGAACTGAAAAGAGAGAGAGAGAGAGAGAGAGAGAGAGAGAGAGAGCGAGTGAGCGAGAGCGAGACAGGCAAAGAGCGAACGAGAGAGGAATAACAACATCGATGTATTCGATACAATTGTGTCATTTGCATTGACATGGATATGGATTTTTCGAATGTTTTGTAAACTTCAGTTGTATTTCTACTATTATCTCTCTCTCTCCGCTTATCCTTTCTCCGTATCTTGTTTTAGCTTTTGATGTTTGACACAATTGTAGTTTTTATCATAGGACGTTCTCATGTATTGCATTGTCGATCCTCATTCGTTGCTGTTCCATCTCTTTCCCATTTCATTCTGTTTGTCCTGCTCGAATCCAACTTGATTGTTTGATTCGGCATGAAATTCCAGCCATTTAGCCAATATCACTCGAGTCTTGGAGTCTACGATTCAAACAATTGAATTTTCCATTGATTTTGTGCGTTATTGTTTCTTTTTCTCAACTCCCACAGTTTAATGGACTAATCTTACCGTCTGTTTTGTTATATTTCTTGTAAAAAAACGAGACAATTGCAACGGAAATCGTTGTAAACAAAACAAAAATCTTCATTTCGATGCGATCAGAAAAAATGAAGCATTTCTACTGGTAAATCGAACGAATACGAAAGTTTCACATGAAACGAAAGTGATTTTTCTTTGTCCAAAGAAATTGAACCATTTCCCTCAAGGTTGGTGCTCATTGCATCGCTTTTTCAACATCGGCAAACGGAAGAGTCGAGCTAAAAGCAAATATCAAAGAGAAGTTAAGCAAAGAAAAAGCAGAGAAATCAAATAGAAAAAAGTCCATTTCCATTGAAAACAAGATGTCCCTCGTTCTCTCTGTACAAACTATTTTTTGGATCGGTTTCAACAAAACTTTTCAACGCTTCGAATGATTTATTTCATTTCAATGGCTGACTAAATGATTTCCCTGATTGGAATTAATACACTTGTGTTTGTTCATTTGGGAATCTTTCCTAATTACGTCGCCGTTTCGCAATGATGCGATCAATTACTCTCTAAATCAAAAGCATTAGAGTAGAAACTTCTGTCTAATAAAAGTTGTTTGTGTACTGAGACAATCATCATCATGTATTACAATGTTGCACCTAGTTGATAACAATCGTTCTCCGCACCGGATTTGATTGGATCTTAATGATTTTATAATTTTAACAGGAAAAGAAAATCGTTTCAATTATCGATGGTTGGCCGAATGTTGAGCGTTGCATATATTATGTAGCAATGTAAATCACTTACCTAAAATTCCAATGCTTCAAATCAAATTACTCGAATGCTGTTGCATTCTCGCGCACAGATTTGCTCTCATGCCAAAGATGGGTATATTTATTCGTAGATCGTATCAATATCAAGCACAAGTGCCGAGACTAGTTATGCATAAATCAAAATGGTTTACGTGTTGATTGCACAGTGCACAATTGCGTATCATTATTCCGATGGCCTTCGAATTCGGATCGAAAATTCTGAAAACGGGGAGATGCCAATAATTGATTTGAAAGGCAACAGTGCGGGTGTACGTGTTATTTTTCTTTCATTTATTGGCCAATTAGCTACGACAATAACAAAAACAATGGAACATAAACGTCTAGCATATGATATCGAGGCCAAAGGTTGGTTGCCCTGCACTATAACGATAGGCAGCAGACAATACAATAACAATGCTTTACATCTGCAGCAACTCAATTAGCATTTTATAATATATTCTCTTCTTCTATTTTTGGTATATATATTTACATTATTGTTCCTACGTTTTTAAAGCCACTCGAAAAAAAAACTTCCAATTTTATTTTGTTTGTTGAAAATCACTTGAACTGTTCTCTTCATTCTTCTACTCTATATCAGTGTGTGTGTGTGTTTATTGAATTCCGACTATCGACCATCCACTTGAAGAAGGAGCAATCGATGGGGGAGCTATATTTAATGATGAATAGCCATTGATTTTCGGTTTTTCTTCAAGCACATATTAATTCCTTTGCAACAAAATATTCCGCTTAACAACGAGGCAAGCAACAACAATGGAATTTTTACGGCCAATGAATTCAAATTGAATTCACGTGTTTGCCAATGTGCGCTGTACGTTTCGAAAATATCATTCCAAAATTTGATACGCTTGCGATTTGGATCGAATTTCATAACCACACCATCATTTGTTATATCCAAATAGTGGTATTGATCGGTATCAGCAGCATTTCGTTTTTGAAATATAACCGGATCGCTATTCGGTAATGGATTTCTGAAAATTTGGAAATTTAATCTAAATTCTCTCTTCACAATGGTGAACGTCACACGCCAATTGTTAGATAAACGGAGCTAAATTACTTACGAGAATTTGGCGAAATTCGCATAAAATTCGGTGAGCGTATCGATTGTTTTGCGTTCCAGTGAATCTTCTGCCAAATTTTGATACGACGAATCCGGAAGCAAACTTTGACCACTCAGCCTACAGAAATGATTCGGACAATATAGAATTATTGTTTGTTATTGTTGAACATTCACAAATAATGAGTGTGTAATTGCAAAATTGTGCGACCGAGTACGGTTTTGGGGTTGATTGTGATTTAATATGGTCAATTTACCGGAATAAATATGGCAGTTGATCGAAATGATTGGAAAAATTAAAGTTGAATGCAAATTTCCGGCCCTTGCGACTACTTAAATTCCAGTCACTCTTCACTGAAAAGCTGAATGTGAAAGAAGAGAAAAAATTTAGGAAAAAAAAACACACGCAAAACTTTAATTTCCGATTCGATTCTGTCGAACGGAATCAAAAGTTATGTAATATTCCGTTAGCGTCGATTCGATTGATACTCACGTGGAAAAGAATGTGTGTCCGGTCGTTCTGTTGGCATGAATACGCGCATTCAAGTCGATACCGTATAAAAACCAAACGTCGGTCATTAGCTGCTGGAATCCGGTAATTGTGTCATTGTCAACGCGATTCCCTTTGAAGTAAAGTTCTCGCACTTTTGTCGACATTTCCTTGTACTCCTGATTTTGAAATGGATGGGCGATTTCGGAGCGACAACGAAATTATTCGAAATGGAACATTTGATTGGAATGAAGAAAATTGAAAGTGAAATTGCTTTCAATCACATTATACCTTTGAATGGAATTTTAGCTTGGCATTCCGAAGTGGAAGTTGCAGTTCGAAAATTTCATCAAATGGCTTCAACAGAGCGGGATTTCGAAGTTCATTAATGAATTCACCGTACATTTCCTGCAAAGATACATACATTTCATGTTTGTGCGATGATTAAGTGGTTTCTCTCTCTCTCTCTCTCTCTCTCTCTTTCTCTTCCAATGTTGGTGTTGCTTTCTATTGTTTTGTCGACGAAACACGCCTTTTGTATTACGCCCTATAATTAAGCAATTCTCTCACCTCGAATGTACAACCGAACAAAGCATTGACATTGCTTTTATATTCGTCATTGGTGAGAATGTCAAATGGTGTTCTATCGATGAATTTGTCAACCGCATGAGGATCTGAAACAATTCAAACAAATGAGTTCATGCACATTCGGCAAATATCCTCACTGAATAGTTGCCTATTTGTATTGTCTGTGTTTCACTCACGTTCGACAGCAGTGGCCCAAATCAAATTGGCCATACGTCGACCAAATCCCGTGTTGCTAAAATCCTGAAATGTGCGTTTTGTCAACAGTTTACCATCGATTTGGCGTAAAAATTCCAACAAATCACGATTATTTTCCACGGGATAGTGAAGGCTTTCGGCTAAATTGTATAAAATGGTCAAATGATCTTTGACCCGCGGTATTGATGGATTCAATGCCGATCCACTCAACATTATCGCATTTTCAAATAATCCCTTCGATGCCGGCGAAATCATATGCAAACTAACACTAATTGCACCTATAAACAAGAGTGGTTGGATGAGAGAGTGGGCGAGTGAGCAATGAAAATGACAACGACAATACAGCGTATCATAAAAATGTTATGATTCGTCGCTATTATTGAACGTCATGCACGGTACGTACCTGTATCATGTCCCAGAAGTGTCGTTTTCCCATCACCACCACCACCACCAAACTGTTTAATATTTTTGTCCACCCATTTGAGCACAAGCACTTGGTCTTTGTGGCCCATGTTTCCAGCAAAATCCGGTAAATTCAACGACATAAAACCGATGGCTCCCAAGCGATAGTTGAATGTGACCTGTCAAATGCACCACATGTATGCCGACGCACACACGAAATTGAAAAAAAAGAAACAATTTGTTCGAGTGAGAAAATCAGCTGGCGGCACAGATACACACACACACACACACACACACATACAGACGATGTGGGCATATCAAAAATTGCACAATACTCACGACTATCACGTCTTTTTCAATCAAAAAATCTGGCCCATAATGCCGTGCACTGCCTGACTGAAACGCTTCTCCCATCACATACACAATCACCGAGAAATTTCCAATTGTTGCCTGTTCAATGGCTTCGGCTGGAGCGAATACATTGAGATACAAACAGTCTTCGGAGCCGAAAACCTCATCCGTTTCGAAATTGATTTGTGTACAATCGCTAGCAAAATCGAATGCATCCAAAGGATCGATCCATGGTGCAACTTTTTTTGGTGCCTGTGAAATGATATTATCATACATTCTTGAAGCCATCATCTGTACGCGTACGCCACCCCGACCATCAACAAACATGTAAATTCAAAATAAAATCGTCAATCCAACACATATCAACACGATATGTCGATACACAAAATGGCAAAACGAAATTATGTCACATGATTTTGGCGTATAGACACAAAACATGTATATACTTGATGGTGGTGGTAGCAGCAGTGATGGCATATAGTCACAGGATCAACTTACCTTGAAACGTAAATCTTTTAACGGCGGTTGTGCATAGGGAATGCCACGGAATGAATAATACGGTTTTTCACCGAATAGGGTTAGACTGCGTTTGCCACGGATTCGACCACTTTCAATTTCAATTTCGACCACATCACCACCATCACCATTCACTCCTCCGTTCGTCCATGCCAACCATAGAGGCATTGCAAGACCGAGCACAAAAATGAATCTCCACATTTTATACCACTGCCAATAAATCATCGTTTATGTGGTGCTTTTTTGCGATTTCGTCTTTCGAACAAACACATCAACACAAAAGCACACACACAATTATTGTTCCGAAACGAATTTGACTGTTTGTCGGTTGTGCGTTGTTCACTCTTTGGTTTATTACTTGGCTGGAGATTTTTTTTTATCAGAATTCAGTTCATCGATCGGCTGATATTTGACTACTGAATGCGTTGTACATTCTCATTCTACCTGAACACTGACTGTTGAATTTCGAATATTTTATCGCCAGGTTTATATCATGATTGGCAGTGAGTTTTTTTTATTATCTTTTTTGTCAATTTAGGGACAGTGTCACGCGTTTCTGTGACTTTTGTTCGTTAATTTCGCTTTGTTCGTTCCAGCACGCTATAATTTTGTTTTAACCATTTTTTTTTCTCTTTAGCTCAGTTATAATACACTGTCCAACTATTATATGGTTTAATAATAACGTAGTTTTTTTTTGTTCTATTCTCTGTGTGTTTTGTGTGACGCGCGTGCACTCTGCTCTCGCTCTCTCATCTGCTCACTCATTTAATTCGGCTGTACCAATTGCGGCGGAATGACAACTCGTGTTCTCGTTGAGTGGTTTTAAAAGGGATAAACAAATTCATTTGCAGGTTGAAACTAAATGTGTGTGTGAGTGTGTGTGTGTGATTTTTTCTCATCTCATTGTCGTCATAATAATAATGAATGTTGCGGTTCTGTGCGTCTCTCTGTTGCTATTTTTTTTTTTCATTCATCAGTGACTAAAAATATATAAAATAAATTAAGAGCTTGGACATTGGAATACAAAACGTTAGACACTTTTTATTCCTACCTATCTATGGGTGTGGGTGTGTGTGTCTATGTTTTCATAACATGCATCGTTTATTCAGAAACGAAGACGAACCAAACGAATCGAGGAAAAAAAACGAAATTGGTACAAATCGCTGTTGTCATCGACACGAAAGCCGAACATTCATCTACAATATGAATTATTTGACATCGAATGCAATGTTGAAAATCAAATATGATGTCGTAAAATGATTGTCGTTCTCATTCTTTTTCCGTCTTTTTTGTTTGAGCGGAGCGGGGGGTGATAGAAATGATTTTATTGATTTTCTGCAAGCCCCATGGCTCACATTTGCATCGTGCTTGTCGACATTTTGCTTCCCGCAGGAAAATATTTGACTTGCAGGAAATTATGATCGCTGAATCATCATTGGATGCTTTTCATTTTAAAACCCAAGTAGTTTAATCATGTTCGCGGTGCCAGTCTTGACTTGACTGATAAAATGCCACCATGGCCATATTTTTGGAACAATTCTATAGACTCTCTGTGTTTTGTCCCTTGCCTTCGTTTTTTTTTTGCCTTCTGAAAACCGCGCCGGAATATGAACAAGCGCATATTACACACATGTGCAAGTATATTTGGGCTGAGTTGCGTTTTTGAATGTCAGAATGGATTTCATTATTCATGATTTTATGGGAGATTTGGCCACTTGTCTACACTTGAGTGAGAAAAGTCGACAGCTTTATTCGTAAAGCGGTCGCATCATTAACATACAATTGCGTTTTCTGATATTCGAACCGATACTCCGCCTCTCCGATGAATGGAATCGTGAAGACTTCGGTGTGAATTGTGACCTACAAGAATCGTACGAATGAACGAGTGTGTTGGTCGCTTTTGGACACCCTCTCTCCGACAGCAGAAAAGCGCACTTGCCCAACGAACATTATGGCAATGGCTGCAATAACAATAATAGTCATAATAATGATGAGATGAAAATTCCAAATTGCGGCATGTGATGGATTATGACGGCATTAAAATGTTAAAATTGACTATGGCCCTGCACTGTGCGCTGTGTGTTCCATGTTCCATTTCGGACCGTATTTACATTCAAAGCATGCAATGCTCAATAAAACGACAATGACCATATTGTTTGAATGATAAGAAATTTATTGTGTTTTTTCCCTTCTTCTTCTTCTTCTTCTTCTTCTTCTTCTTCTTCTTCTTCTTCT